CCTTCCCCCTCTCCTCCCTCCTTCCTTCCTCCCCTCCTCCTTACCTCCCTCCCCTCCTCATACCTACCCTCCCCTCCTCCTTCCTCCCCTTCCCCTCCTCATACCTCCCTTCCCTCCTCCCTTACCACCCCTCCTCCTCCTTTCCCTACCCTCCCCCCTCATCTCTTCCTTCCTTCCTCCCCCCCTCCTCCCCCCCATGCCCCTCCCCTTCCCCCCCTCCCTCCCCTCCCTTCCCTTCTTTCACACCATTCCTCCTTCGTGTTTCTTCCACCTCTTCCACAGCCGTCTCTATCGCCCTCTCCTGTCTTCCTCCTCACCCTTGTTACTGTTTTCTCGCCTGTTCTTCATCACCCTCTCGTCCTCCTCCTCCATATCCTCCCTTTACCCCCACCCCTTCCTCCCTTTACCCCCACCCCTTCCTCTTCCACCACTGCAAAAAATAGTCAATATGATGGTGGTGGTGCAGGTAGCAATAGTAGTAGTAGTTGTTGTGAAGGTGAAGGGAATAGTTGTGGTATTTACAGTATAGTGTAGGTGGTTGATTAGTGATAGAACTGTTGGAGGAGACAGGTAGTGGTGGTAGGTCGTGGTGGTGGAGTCAGGTGGTGGTGGTGGTGGTGATGGAGTCAGGTGGTGGTAGTAGTATTGGTGATGGAGTCAGGTGGTGGTGGTGGTGGTGATGGAGTCAGGTGGTGGTAGTAGTATTGGTGATGAGGTGGTGGCTGTGGTGTCTGGCGCAGTTGGATCAGCAGCAGCTAGAGGTGAGGGGAGGGGAGTGTGATGGAGCAGTGACGTAGCGGTGACGTGTTTGTGTGTGTGATCGTAACTCAGGTGCGCCTTAAAGTTAGATGTGGCGACCTGCCCTGGCGCTCCTCTCCCTTCTCCCTACCCAATCACACACCCCCACGGCTTCTACGTCATCACTGCTGGCCACAAGCCGTGCGTCTTTGCCTCTGACGTCACATCCGTTACCTTGGTGATGTTGACATGGGCAACCAATCAAATTGTTACGGATTTGTGATTTGCAGAATAATTGACGTCACCAGTTACTCAACCAATCACTTTAATGACCGGTGTAGTTTGTTTTATTGGAGGTCAATATTGACCTTGGTTTTATCACGAGTAGTGAAGTAGTGACGTCTTCTCTGATGACCAATCATTGATCACCGTTTGATGATACGTGTTACATCACGAACCAGTCAGCCAATAGGATACTGTAGGAAGTGTTGCTCTTCCTGTATGTGTGTGTGTGTGTGTGTGTGTGTGTGTGTAATAATTAACGGTTTATTGATAAGGCAACAACTACCATAAACTGGAAATCTGCAATAAACATAAGTGGTACATAGAGAGAGGGTCGTTTAACAAGGAGTTTCAGTGTGGTGACGACAAAACGGAGACAGACAAAGAGTGAACATAAGTTATTTACGAATCATTGATGGTGTTTACTATGGTAGGGCGGACTGTTGCTACCCACATCCTCCCACCACAACACTACAAACCCAGCCGTACACACACACACACACACACGCACACACATTTACACTAAAAATATCATAAATCATAAAATATATTGCTCAGAGCTGGCACTAAGCTTTTAAGAAACGGGTTATCTAACAAGGCGGTATTCCTAGTTGACTCCACTGCCACGTGACATTGTTTACATATGACGTCATAGAAGAAGCACGCGAAGATGCTCCATCCTTGTTATGTTGCGAGGAATACACACACACACACACACACACACATACACACACACACACACACACACACACACACACACTTTATATATATACATGTGTGTGTGTGTGTGTGTGTGTGGGGTGTGTGTGTGTGTGCGCGCGTCACGTTTGTAAGTTTTTTTTAAGTGGCTCTTAATGTTCTGCATAGGAAAAATAAGGTTATAGGAAAGGTAATATTAGATTTAGTGATAGAGACACGACGTGAAAACTTAGTTGTTGGGATGTCTAGTCCGGGGAGGCTCTCACAGCTGGCGCCCGTTGACCTTGACATAGCTAACGGTACCAAGCTGCACCCACCTCGCTCTCACACCTCCCAGCTGGTAATGGTCCACTGTTGCTTCGCGGTGGGCTAGACTATGAGACTGTTGCTTTGACCTCTGCCTTACCACCTGAGGGATGGCTATTTTTTAATTTTTGTGGTGGTGTGCTGACTGACGGGCGGTAATGTAGTCACCCAACTTATTACACATAAAAATTAACTTCCCTAGCACTATTTGAGGGGGTGGGGGGTTAGATTAGCGTTAGAATGGTTAATTATTAGTGAAATATCTACCCTAACATTATTTGGAGGGAAGGGTTTAGGTTAGGTTAATTTAACGTTAGGATGGTTAATAATTTGTGAAAGAAGTTGTGGTGGAGATTCTTCAGGTGGTCCGATAAGAGTTTAGTGTGAGGCGGTAGATAGGACACTGTTTATGTTGTTCTGTGTCGTGTGTTTATGTGGGTCTCTTTAGCTGTGTCGCGGGTTATGTGGGTCTCTTTAGCTGTGTCGCGTGTTTATGTGGGTCTCTTTAGCTGTGTCGTGTGTTTATGTGGGTCTCTTTAGCTGTGTCGCGGGTTATGTGGGTCTCTTTCGCTTTAGCTGTGTTATGTGGGTCTCTTTAGCTGTGTCGCGGGTTATGTGGGTCTCTTTAGCTGTGTCGCGGGTTATGTGGGTCTCTTTAGCTGTGTCATGGGTTATATGGGTCTCTTTAGCTGTGTCGTGGGTTATGTGGGTCTCTTTAGCTGTGTCGGGTTATGTGGGTCTCTTTAGCTGTGTCAGGTTATGTGGGTCTCTTTAGCTGTGTAGGTTATGTGGGTCTCTTTAGCTGTGTCGCAGGTTATGTGGGTCTCTTAGCTGTGTCACTTGGGTTATGTGGGTCTCTTTAGCTGTGTCGTGTGTTTGTGGGTCTCTTTAGCTGTGTCGCGGGTTATGTGGGTCTATGTGTTTATGTGGGTCTCTTTAGCTGTGTCGAGTGTTTATGTGGGTCTCTTTAGCTGTGTCGCTTATGTGGGTCTCTTTAGCTGTTATGTGGGTCTCTTTAGCTGTGTCGCGGGTTATGTGGGTCTCTTTGTGTCGCGGGTTATGTGGGTCTCTTTAGCTGTGTCGTGTGTTATGTGGGTCTCTTTAGCTGTGTCGCGGGTTATGTGGGTCTCCTGTGTCGTGTGTTTATGCTCTTTAGCTGTGTCGTGGGTTATGTGGGTCTCTTTAGCTGTGTCGCGGGTTATGTGGGTCTCTTTAGCTGTGTCAGGGTTATGTGGGTCTCTTTAGCTGTGTCGCGGGTTATGTGGGTCTCTTTAGCTGTGTCGCGGGTTATGTGGGTCTCTTTAGCTGTGCTTTGTCTATGTGGGCTGTGTCGGGTTATGTGGGTCTCTTTTAGCTGTGTGGCGGGTGGACAGTCATGCAGTGGAGCAGGAGGAGGTGGATTCAAACGTTTGTTGCATGACTTTTTGAGTTGTTTGGACAGTATCGCTTCTACTCTAATTAGCCTAATGTAACTAAAACTTATTCTAACTAAACCATCAACATAACCCAACCTTACCTAACCTAAACCTAATTTAAACTAACGTAATCCTAACTTAATGTAACATCCCAAAACATAACCTAACCTTAAGTAAAGCGTAACTCAAGCAAACTAGATCTTATATTATAACTAAAACATAACTGGTGCAGCTCTAAAGTACGAAAGGAAAAGTTATTGGGGAATATTTTGTCCAGTGAACGACTGAAAATGGCGCTCTGGGGTACACACCAATCTAGACTGGTGTGTGATGTTAACGCCAAACAGCGGGTATTTTTTGCAAAGGGGTAAATTTTTCCAAAAGGCCGTAACATACTGCGTATATCTCGTTTAATTTTCAAATGATTTAGGTATAATATTTTGTTAATGTTAAGTATAAGTGGGAGCCTCGTGGACCGTTCAGGACAATAGTTAAACGCTTCATCTTTTCAAATCCAGTCATACTTGTTGTGTAAGCTGTAGTGCTGAGAATTATTCTTATACTTTTAACGTTTCAATGGTGCCGCTGTACAGTATATATTTCCATTATCTCTCTCTCTCTCTCTCTCTCTCTCTCTCTCTCTCTCTCTCTCTCTCTCTCACACACAGTTGACACGTCTGCTTCCTACATGTCGATGATAATGTAACCACCACTAAATATAGCATTCAAATTTACACGATTTATGTTCTAATTAATGCTACACACCGTACTATGTAATAGCTATTACGACATTACTGTGTGTATGTGATGCCTTTATGGATTAATTTTCTCAATATGAAGTCTTGAGCCAGCGTCGTGTGTGTGTGTGTGTGTGTGTGTGTGTGTGTGTGTGTGTGTGTGTGTGTGTGTGTGTGTGTGTGTGTGTGTGTGTGTGTGTGTGTGTGTGTGTGTGTGTGTGTGTGTGTGTGTGTGTGTGTGTGTGTGTGTGTGTGTGTGTGATTCAGTTTTCGTGTTGGGAGCGCCAATGTGTTTGTACACCAGTTGGGCATCAACACAGTATTAAATACAAGCTCCTCGTTCTCGCCTTACTGTCCCTCCATGTGCCCGACAGTTGTCAACATGATAATGGGAATGAGTTTGAACCAACCTCGGGAGATGGATGTATCACAACAAGATCTCCAAAAAGGATTAATAATTTGGATTTTTATGATTATTCTATTTTTAAACCAGTTGTCAGAAGATATTTATTTTTGTGGGAAATATTAAACAAACACAAATATGTTTTTCTCTGCCTTGTCACCATCTCACCTCCCATCTTAATGTGATTTTTATATCACTTAAGATCTGACCATTGAATATTATTTGCCTATATTGACATACTTTGCTGATTGTTGTACGTTTTTGTCCAAATGATGCATTGTACTGTACAGTGTAACCTGATGAGGCCCGACAGGAAGTATCACCCCTGCAGTTATTAGTACGTGTTAGAGATGTTTGATGTCTTATATAGTATAGTGGAGTGTCGTCATGTGTATTTACTTGGTGTTCTTTTGTTTACAGAGTTACGGTGGTGGCGGGCAGGTGCCGCCAGTGTCACCCATCACGACGCCAACGTCTACTGGCGGGCCACACGGCGGGGGCGCAGGTGGCGGTGGTGGCGGTAGTGGTGGTGGTGGTGGCGGCGGGGCTGGCGGCTACTCTGCAACCTCACCCTCCTCACACTCGAGCTACGGGGAACAACTCTCCCGCACCAACCTGTACATCCGTGGCCTGAGTCCTGAGACCACGGATAAAGACCTCGTCGACATGTGCAAGAAGTAAGACCTTAATTTGCCTCCTTCCCCTTACTCTTCCTTCCTGCACCAAGACTATTTTCCCTCACTTGGATTCCTCCTTCCTCTCCTTACTCTATTCTCCTATTAGGCATCACACTACTTCCAAGGATCTCGACGAAGTGACCGAGAAGAAAAGCCATACACTGCTTCTGTTACTCTAGCTGTGTATGCCCTGCTTCCTTCCTTTAGCCCTTTATATTCGGCTTCGTCCCTACTCTAGTCCTCTCTGTTTGCTCCTTCCTACTCAGCCCTCTGTTGTACTTCCCTAACTCTTCTACTCTTCCCCCCTAACACCCCCCCCCCACCATGAGGGTGTGAGTGGTGCGGGTCACAAGCAGCTGGCACACCTCGTCACCTCAGCTGATAAAAAGAGTGCAAGCCTTGCAGTATTGCAAGTCAAGTTGTTGATGTTACAGCACTGACTCTGCGATATGTGTGTGTGCTGTATATTACCTCATCAGCTTTATTATGGTTCTGTTATTGAATAATGAAGGTTTGCTTTCTAATTCACTGCTGACACAGATTGCACCACCACCCCTTCTGGTCTCACTCCAGCCTGTGTCAGTTGCGTGGTGGTGTGAGCTGTGTCAGTGCCAAGTGTTAAGACAGTACCATAGGCTCAGGAGTGTTATTGTCATTCTTACCGTGTGTGAAGCTGCAGTTGCTTACTGCACAAGCCCTCAAGTACTGTACTGTAATTGCATAAGTGGAGTCGTCGTCAAGGGTGTATAGTGGAGTTATCACCTGTCACCGTCAGTAGTTGCTTCTGGTATTTTTGGATGTATGATTTTAATTTTTAATCCCTCTACAGAGGCACGGGTGTCATGTTGGTTTGGACATGTCTGTCTGGACATGTTGTATAGCCATCTCACACAAGTATGTTTGTAGGATCATGTAAAAACTATCGGACTAAAAACAGTGAAATATCATATGCTTCTTTGCATGCATTATTATATAAGTTGATTTGATTTTTTAATATAATATTACAATAATGGGTGTAAATTGTAGTACTTTGAATATTAATAGAAAAGAAAAGGGTTTTAACAGGTCTAGAGCTCTTTTGTTTCTTCTAATCTCTAATTATTTTAGGATAAAAAACACTTAACAGTAGAGAAATGTTAGTACAGTCAAATTGTTAGTAAGAGGTTGGTGGTAGTTGTCCCTTGACCACCAATGTCGCGCTACATGTTCAGACTCATATTTTTTCTGATGGATACAATATTTTTATCACCAGTTTTCCTGGAAGTTCTCTTAAGTTAACTGTCAATGAGCAGTGTGACTCCTGAAAGTATTTACTCTACAACTTTACATTGGGTTAATTAAGCTGGATTCTATTTTTAGTTTTTTGGTAATGGATTTCCCTACGTGGAATTTTTTGAAGAGCAAGTTGTCTGTTAACACAAAGTAGTTAACAACTGTGCTCTGGCCATACTGTAATTGCATTTTAATCTTACCATAAACTTCTGATTTCCACCATCAGAGTTCAGGAGCTGGGGCATAAACAAAGAATCACTCCAAATCCCATGTGGGAGCCTCAGGGTTGGACAGGTGACCCATTGAAGGTGCCCCATCCTGTAAAGATGCAGTTAGTCACTAGTTAAAACTTTTATTACTCATTGCTTGGATGGGCAAAATATGTAAGAGAAATGCTTGGCATAAGGGAGCACTCCTACTGGAGTGTTTTGCATTTATTATTATAGTACCTGTACTGTAATTTTTTTTTTGTGTGTGTGTGTGTGTGTGTGTGGTTTTAAATAAATGAGTAAGCCACCCTGGGATGAACACAAGGACATATATCATGGATTGATTCAGTTTGTGGCCAACTATGGAGTAGTTGACTCAGATACTGTACAGTACAGTACAGTACTGGGTGGTATTAAGGTTGGCTAGAGCTAACCTGGAGTGGTTCCTGTCTGATGAACACTGGACTGCATATGATCAACCCTCTGCCCTAAGTGCCAATTTTTTCTTTTAATTCCTCTTTTAATTTTTCTGGTTGTGACAGGAAGTTATAAACTAATTACATGTCCAATCCAACATTGCCTCATTACATTACTCCCAGGGAATCTAACCCAGTAGGATTGATGGCAATATACATGGGTGTCTGGGACCAGGCTTGGCCATAAAATGAGGTTTCCATGATCAGTTCACTGAATCTCTCGTGTAGGAACTGGTTTAGAGGATATAAGGTGTAGTAGGCATTGTGAAATGGTAAGCTCGTCTTTGTTGTTAGGAACAATCATTGATGTTATGGTACCTGTCATTACATGTATTGCTGTGACTGTAAGGAGGAGCTGGGAGCATATCATTAATGGTGTTACTGTGTTTCAGATATGGCAACATCATATCAACAAAAGCTATACTCGATAAAAACACAAACAAGTGCAAAGGTGAGTTTCATTTACTAAGATTCAAGAATAAAAATTTAATTTGTTTAGTTGGCTGCCTTACCTGTTAGAACACGAAGTAACACTTACATGACAAACACAGATTCACTTTAGATTGTTAATTAATACTGTACAGTACTGTATAATGTTTGTTGTTTTTAGAAAACATTAAAGTACTGTACTGTGTCCTCCTCATACAGTAACAATGTTCATGTACACTCTCGGCAAAAACTTCTCAAACATCTGGGCACGATGGATGTGAGAATGAGCAGAATGGGGCTTGTCTCAATGGTTTCAGATTTTTTTCTTCAGATTGTATAGTGCTTATAGTGTTAGAAAAGTTTTGGTGAGAGTGTACAGATGTTTACAGAAAACATCAGGCTGTGCACTATACAGTATATAGTAGTGTCATATTAACTCTCCCAGTAACAGAAAAGAATTACTGTACTGTACTGGTAAGTTTATGAATATCCTGAGTGTATGATCACTCACTCTTTGAAAAGTCTCCATTGTAAGATGTTATAGAATCCTGTGTTCATTGGAGACCCTGCCAGCTTATGTTAATTCAATTAAAGTCATTTTTGGTACATGAGCAGTGAAAGTCAAAGTAGAATTTAAGAATTCTTAAAAGATACATGTACTGTACTGTAGTAACTTTTTCATCTACACCAGGAACTGATAAGTACTGTACCTTGTTATGTTTCGTTTTTCTCTCTATTTTATAGGTACTTCTTCTTTTCTGTTTGTGTTCTATATGCCAAGGCCACACACAGCTTTACTAGCTTCAGAGTTGTGTTGTGAGAAGCCTTATCACTTGTATGAGCTAAATATATTTTTCTATGTACTTTCTGATTGTTTTGCCCATAAACAGTGGCCATCTTCAGTGAAAGTTAGCTGTAGGGACAGTGGAAATTTCATTTTCCTTGAGTTCATTTTTATACATATGGGGTCAGCATCAGCATCAAATTACCAGCCGATCAGTTTGAACGTCAGTAGTGGGGAAATTTCTTGAATCAATTATAGCAGATAGCATCCGATCGCATCTAGAGAAAAGCAAATTAATCTACAACTCTCAACATGAGTTTACAAAGGGAAAATCTTGTCTAACAAATCAGCTAACGTTTTTTAGGAAAGTCTTCGAGGTAGTAGATAATGACGAAAATTACGATGTTATTTACTTAGACTTTAGCAAAGCATTTGACAGAGTACCGCATCAGAGGCTTCTAAGAAAAATTAAGGCTCATGGTATCGAGGGGAAAGTTTTAAATTGGATAAAATCATGGCTCACCGATAGAACGCAGAGGGTCAGCGTAGATGGTGTTAAATCTGAGTGGGGCCGGGTAACCAGTGGGGTTCCCCAGGGGTCAGTACTAGGCCCACTCTTGCTCATAATCTACATAAATGATCTAGATACTGGGATCAGCAGTGACATAAGCAAGTTTGCGGGTGACATCAAAATAGGGCAGCAAATTAATTCAGGGCAGGATGCAAATGCATTACAGGAGGATCTAAATAAACTGCAGGGGTGGTCTGAAAACTGGCAAATGAAATTCAACACCAGCAAGTGCAGCGTACTTAATATTGGAAGAACAAATACTTATAATGTATACAGCCTTAACAACATCAACCTAGAGAAGTCGACTTGTGAAAGAGACCTAAGGGTACTTGTAAGTCCGGACCTACGGCCTAGAAAACAGTGCGTTTATGTTCAAAATAAGGCAAACAGAGTATTGGGTTTTATATCTAGAAGTGTAAGTAACAAGAGTGCAGAGGTCTTATTGCAACTATATCTTGCGCTAGTCAGGCCGCACCTCGATTATGCGGTTCAGTTCTGGTGCCCCTATTATAGAATGGATATAAATTCACTAGAGTCGGTGCAGCGAAGAATGACAAAAATGATTCCGGGACTTAGAAACCTTCCATATCAGGATAGGTTAAAGAAACTTAACTTGCATTCCCTAGAAAGACGAAGAGTGCGGGGATATGATAGAAGTATTTAAGTGGGTGAAAGGAATCAATAAAGGATATAGATAAAGTTCTATAATAATATCCGAGCAGGATAGGACTCGGAGCAACGGATTCAAGTTGGATAAGTTTAGGTTTAGGAGGGAGATAGGAAGGAACTGGTTCACAAATAGGGTGGTGGACGAGTGGAACAAGCTTAGCAACTTTGTAGTAAGTGCGAGAACTCTGGAAAGTTTCAAAAGGAGGCTAGATAGATTCATGGATGATAGAGAGTGGTAGTAACTCTCGACAGGAGCTGCCATGCACAGGCCAACCAGCCTATTGCAGCCTCCTTATTTTCTTATGTTCTTATGTTATGTTCTTAGCTATCAGTTAAGGGTTAACCCCTATAGTTTTAAGAAACCTCTGTAAGGTTGTTTTTGTATATTTAACAGATGACATAGAGGAAGAGAAAGATTTTTGTTATCCTCTTTGGAGGCAGAGTGTTTGTCATTTGTGTGTGTCAAGCCATCACATCCAACATTTGGTCACTCACTTTGTAAAATCAACTTGTACAGTCTTCTATGCAAGACTGAAACTTGGCACAAGGATTTTGAAGAGATGATAGACAAATACAAACTTTTACCACATTTGGAACTTACTGCAGAATGTTTTTGTCAGTGTTGGACATGATACAGTATGCAGTACAAGTACAGTGACCCCTCGGTTAACGAACTCAATCCGTTCCAGAAGGTCGTTCGTTAACCGAAAAGTTCGTTAACCGAACCATTGTTTCAATGGGTTTTTGGGTAATTGGTTCCAGCTCACCGAAAATTTCCTAAATTCAACAAAAATGGTAGAAAAGTACAGTCTTCTATGCAAGACTGAAACTTGGCACAAGGATTTTGAAGAGATGGTAGACAAATATACACTTTTACCACATTTGGAACTTACTGCAGAATGTTTTTGTCAGTGTTGGACATGATACAGTATGCAGTACAAGTAACTACTGTATGTACTTCCATGAAATCAATTCCTCCTACAGTCTTCCATGAAAGATTCTGAACCTTGGCACAAATATGTTTTAGAGGACATAAATTGTTTGTTATACCTACTGTATAATGGTTCTTTTATTTTAATTAAGAATAAACCTTCTACAGGTACTTTTTTTAGGAAACCAATTTATCATCTGGTTTATGCTCTCTTCAGTAGTAGTGCTGTAAATTTTTCCTGTATTTAAAAAAAAATTACTGTTAAAGAATAGGATTTTTTATGTTTTAGACCTTTGACTTGCTCACCACCTTTTCAGGAGGTATTGTAACAGTCTCGCAGTACAGTACACAGCAAACCAGGTGTTTGATTATTGTTTTATGTTTCTCAAAATCAAGTTACTACACTGTACAGTACAATAGTTACCTCCATCAGTCTGTTTGTACCTAGTGTCTCCATCCCTGTGTTTCTTATTTGATGCAGAATTTCAAATTCAATAGAGGAATTCAAGTAGAGGCAAATGTATATTAATTAAATGATATGTCATATAGTATATACAAAATATGGGACAGCATGTTAAAGGTCAATATTATGGGAAAAGGTCCAAGATCAGTCGGTCTTCCACTCGGAGCATTGGTTGGTCTGAAACACTCAATGTTTTGTTGGTATACGAGTTTTCAATACTGGATTGTGCATTTTTTCTTTATTTATTTCTCACAAAGTTTCTCATGTATAAAAATTTTATACACAATTTTTATTTCTTTTCCTCAGGTTATGGTTTTGTAGACTTTGAGTCACCAGCAGCTGCAGATAAGGCTGTGAAGGGCTTACAGGCATCCAGCATCCAGGCTCAGATGGCTAAGCAGCAGGAACAGGACCCCACCAACCTGTACATTGCCAACCTCCCGCCACAAATGAACGAAGCAGAACTAGAACAGCTACTTGCTCAGCACGGACAGGTCATCTCCACTCGCATACTCAGAGACAACAATGTACAGTCCCGAGGTGTTGGGTTTGCTAGGTATGTCTGCCCTGTTAGTTGCTATAATAAGTCTTTTGTGATATGCAAAAGTATGACTTCTTTGTTGGCATTCATAATAGTAAACTGATATGTTGAATTATATACCTTACTGTACAGTGTGTGAAATTGTTTACCAGAATTCTCTTGTGAATTTTGTATGTTATAATTTTTTCAATGTGAGACCTTGAGATAATGAAATGGAAATTTATCCAGCTTCATCCAGGTGTGGGTGTGTTCATTCATCCATGTGTGGGTGTGTTCATCCATGTGTGGGTGTGTTCATAGATACTGTATGAGTCTTGCCAGCATTAAGAGTCCTTTGCTGTAAATTCACTTTTGATGAAACTTGGTTTGAGTGATAGTCTAGGCAAGATCTCTGATAGGATTGCACTGGAGCAGTCACTGTGTGATAATTCTGAGGAAGCAGAACTTTGAAAATGTCGTGGTCACATAATCATAAAAAGTCAGAGTTTGTTTTTCATTCTTATTAGAGTTTAAATTCAGGAAGATATTTTTTTTCCCGCTCCTGCACATTTTCATGCTTTGCTGGTGGGTGGCTAAAATTAATAGCAAATACAGACTCCTTTCAATCACCTCCATCCATTTTCTCTAACTGCCACTTGACAGTCCTAACAGCCATGTTCATAAAGGTTGCTATACAGAATAATTTTGCAGCTACTGTAGTGTACACTGACAAGCAGTTTTGGTCTGGGGTTTTCAACCTTTTATATGTTGAGAACACTGTACAGTGACCCCTCCGTTAACGAACTCAATCCGTTCCAGAAGGTCATTCGTTAACCGAAAAATTCGTTAACCGAAACCATTGTTTCGATGGGTTTTTGGGTAATTGGTTCCAGCTCACCGAAAATTTCCTAAATTCAACAAAAATGGTAGAAAAGTTCACTTACTTTGAGGTGTGTATGTAGAAGGCTCCTGGACGATGATGATGATGGGATTTAGAATGGGGGTGGAGGAGAAGGAAGAAGAGAAGACATTGGGGTGGAAGAGAAGTCACCCCATGGCGCCATTTCACCCATAAAATTTTAGCTCTCTTGGTGTAATTCAAGATTATTTTCTTTAAATCAACACTGCACTGCATTATATATTGTCAATATGTAAAATATATTTCAAAATGACCAATAATTTGCTTGGAAACACAGAAAAAAGCGTTTAGTTGAAGAGAGTCTCAAGCAAGATGTTAGTGAAAACAGAGAGAGACTAACTCCTGTTTGCTGTGTTAAGAGGCTGGATGCCGCTCATTAAACTAGTCACTTTACCTTCAATTATGTTCAATAATTGTTAAAATGACTAAAAAATTGAATATTAAACTTGAAAATTATTGAATAGTATAAACTTCTTGATATTTACTAAAGTAGTAAGGAATTTAAGCCCTAGAACCGATTAATATATTGGCGGACTGATACTAAAGCTGGTTGCCCGGTCAGTGCAAGCGAAAACATGTTGAGGTCGGTTCGTAAGAACTTCGTTAACCGAATTTGTTTTCGTTAACCAAATTGAAGATCCTTATGGAAGGCAGTTCGTTAATCGAAATTACGTTAACCGAGGTGTTCGTTAAACGAGGGGTCACTGTATTGGGTATTTGGAATAAAAATAAAAAATAAATTTATGCCATGTTGAAAGACAAGGTACTGTGTAGGGTGTGAAGCATATATGTTAGTTGATAGAGGTATCAATATGTGTGTTTGGAGGTAGAGCTATTGGTTTGTGTATTAGGAGATGGCCGTCACTTTTACTGTTTTATTCGGCTATTGCCAGACGATTTTACTCAGCACAGAGAGACCCCTAGTACCCAAGGGGTTAACATACTGGCATGTTATTTGGGTTCCCAGTGAGGGATAAAGAAAATTTTTTATCTGTGCGTTTCTCGTACATCTCCTTTACGTATGATAGTCTTTCACAATATCCAAGCACTCATTGATGATATCTTCATAAGAATATCCTGTATAGTATACCATACAAAATAGCAATAATGAACTGTACAATTAATGGCAAAATTACATGTAAAGTCAGTTCAAATTAATGTACAGTATATAAGCAACTACTGTGTACAAGGATGTGAATCATAAACTCAGTATGGTTTCCTGGGTGGTGCTTTCTTATTCTGGCATAACTTAATCCCATTTGTTTTAACTATAACTCTTAACATGCAACTGTAGATATCTCCTCAATCACCCCAAACACACATTGGTACACACACACACACACACACACACATACAAAATCTGACTTTCAACATGTGATTATCTCAACAGAGTTATGATTACAAAATGCAGGAATTTTAGGAAAGACAGAAATCGGTCCCTAGACATATATTTACCAAATTCTGTACTGGTTTACCCGGTAATATGGTTAATTTTCCAGTAATCACCCAAGACCTGCTTATTTATGTGTGGCATCAGCATCATCAAAGCAATAACACACATCACTCCTGCCTCTGTAGGTACTCACCTGTGGATACAGTATGTGAATGTGGTGACAAAATTTGCCCACCAATAACAAACCTTTCCTAGTTGTTAGTCTGCCTCACTACCAGATTCATAACATCATCTTCAAATATTGCTTGAAAGTAAGATTATTCTGCACATCATCATTATCATCACCTACAGGAAAGTTATTTTGGAAGCTGCTGTATGCATTATCAAAATCGTGTGTCTGGTTGAAAATCACTGGTATTAATCCAAATGTAAATATCACTTGGTAACTGAGGCCTCCCACCAGCACCACCACTTACCACATCTTCCTCCTCAGTCAGATCCACCTCCACCTCACTGTCACTCGCCTCATCTTCTGAGACAGCAAACTCACTGCCGCTGTCTTGTCCTCCTTGCTCCTCTACACCTGTAATCAGAATCAGCACAGTTCTTTTCTCTTTTAATATTCTTTCCTTCACTATATTCTTCATTTAATATCCTCAGGATTTTATGAGGGCGTGAGATATTTTGCCCCTCCACCTTTTTGTTTCTTGCCCCCCCTTGCACCCCCTCCCCCCCACCACCACAACCACCACAGGACATCAATGGTATTGGCTCCAGGTTTATATGAGACCTACTGAGTGATTGTGGGTCTGTGTATGTCACTTAAGGCAGAGTTCTGGTTCCTCCTAAATTTGCCCCAGATGTTCAAGGCTGCACAAACATTCCAAAATGCCACCTTGAAATTTTAGTGTTTATATATGTTGGCTGCAATTTAGGGGTTAATATGTACCAGGATTTCTGCTGTTCTGGATTGTTTGATGTGATAATTATTCCATTAAAGAGATATATTATACCACAGTATCTTCATATCTCTTACAAACTTATGAAAACACCTCAACAATATGTGTTGTAAAGTGTGGAAAATATTTGTAATTTTTTTTTCCAGAGGTTAGTACACACACATCAGAGAAAATACATGCTTTATATATCTGTAATGTCATTTATTTACAGGCTCGTGTTTACTTAGAACAGACTTTCAGAAGTTTACTTTTCTTTGTGTAGAAGACTTACCGGTACTTTGTCATTGATATAATACAGTTCGGTCTGTTGTTGTTTATTTTGCGTACGTGTTCTTGTAAACTTTCTGTCTTTGCAGGATGGAGTCTCGTGAAAAATGTGAGCTGATTATCCAAATGTTTAATAAAAAGGTGCTGCGAGGTGCTAAAGAAGCACTTCTTGTCAAGTTTGCTGACTCAGGCAATAAGAAACGTAACCAGTATAAGGCCAAGGAACAGAGTAATTGGGAACGATCAGCAGAAGTAAGTGTAGGTTCAACAGGTTTCACAATTATAAATTTTATTTCTTCAATATTTTTTATTTTTTATTTATTGAATTGATTTTTTTTTTTTTTCACTTACAACGTTGATGCTGCAGAGACGGCAGACCTAACATAGTGAATATACATTATAAAGACGGTAGGGTGAATGATATACATGTTGTGATTCCAGCTTCTCACAGTAAAAGCTGTCTGATGCATATGATTTGATGTATAGTAATTATGCTTTGGCCATCTGTCTGTCCAACCGTCTGATCTTGAAGTTTGTGTCCAGTCCATAACTTTTCAAGAAACAGAAGAGTTATTCAAAAGATACACTATCAAAAAGGTATATTACAAGAGAATTATATATTATTTACTTAAGTCAGTGCAGTTTTCTCTGAAACAAAGAAACAAAACTCTGTTAACCAGATAAAAATTATTTCCCCATGTGTCCTTGAGGAGGGGAACAGAGATGAGGAAAATTATGAGGGTTGTCTTAATATGTGTACACAAGAGAAGAAAAGGTAAATGAAAAGGAAAATTTTTGAAAATATTAAGAAATGTAAGAATAGCACAGTTGCCCAGAAACAGGAGCGTCATTTCAGATTTTGCTTAGGGGGGACAACACCATTACATGCAAAGAGTAAGGGTCAAAGTCCTGTTCCACCATGGTGCCGCCGGATGGTGCTGTAACAGACGGAACACATTCCAACACGTTTTATATTTTCAATTTGCATCTGCCCGGTGTGGACCGCGTGGCTACTAGCAATATAACTTACTTCCTTGCTGCTATTCAGTTTATAAATGATAGGCAATGGGAACGATGAAAACAGATGAATACTCATCATTTTGTTTAATTATGCATCATAAAAATACCATTGAGATGTTCTCACCAAATCCAAATTCGTCTACAGTATATGAAAAAGGAATATTATAATAGTTTTCCTTGGGAGGGGCAAGCCAGGCCCGGGCAAGCCAGGCCGGGGATGATGCCCCTGCCCATAAAGAGTACAATATACAAATACAGTATACAGTATTTTCAGCCAAAAAACCAAAACAATTATTTTTACCTTTCTTGACAAGAACTTATGTCTCATACCTATGTATATATCTCCTATTTTTCCATTCTCAGCTAGATAGTTTGGAACAGGTAGGTGCATTGAGATGCACAACTCTTTTCAAAATAGATTAAGTGAATCTTGACTTCTGCCTTGCCTTAATACTTCACATCTCATTCCTTTGCTCAATAATTTGCTTTTTCAGTGAAATTTGTCTTTCCAGTCACTCTGCCTTCTTCACAATCTGTGCTGACTTGTGCACAGGTTCTTAACATTCCTTTGGTATTGGTCTAACTTTTAAAATATGTGACTTGTACCCACAGCCAATTCCAGTGTATGACCAGTCATCTATGCTTCCTCAAAACGGAACGCTCATGCCCTCGGTGGGCCCCGGCACGTTCCGACAATACCCGTCCCAGGTGCCACCGTATCATCACCTTCAGCCGTTCTATATAATGCAGCCACAAACACTGCAACACATGGACATGCCTCAGGTAATGACTTTCTTTTCCATTCTTGTAATAAAATTGGTTTAATCTATCTCCTCTCTTCATTCTCCAGTGCTTTCTTTCCTCTCATCCAGAATCAAAGTTCACAAAAGGTTGTACAGGTATCAATATACAATACGAACAGTATTAGTCATGTGCTTAAAGCTTTATTTTTATTTGACATTCTGTAATTTCTATATATTTTCAGTATCCTATGAATCTTATGGTTGATTTTTGTTTTAGTTTAGGAAGTGAATACTATAAAATAAGTGTGGTCAAAGGAAGGCAGTGACACACATGGTAGTTGGAGATCATGAGCTTATATTCTAATTTGATTAAAATTTCACTCTAATACAAACCCAACATTTTCACTCTCCTAAAGGAATCATTATGTAGATAACAGTCACCAGAGCTCATCCTTAGTGATCTTGGTCTTGCAAAATTATATGGCATATCATTTGCTGGTACTAGTAATTATGTGCCTAAGTGGATACCCTCTCCCACTTTCCTTGGTTGAAATGAGTAATGTTATTAATTGAACCTACAGTAATCATATGGTTCTTAATTATGCATTCCTGATTTAATAGATTAGGGTTAATTGAAGATGATGAGGTTATGTTACATCTTTAAGAGCAATTACTTCTGGCTCTATTGTCCATATTTTACACATTGCAATACCACAATACAGGTACGATCAAAGACAAAAGTCGTGTCGCGTTTTGTCCGAAGATTAAATATAACTCATGAAACACAAGGCAGAGCACCAAAGTTTAGCCCTTCGGCATATGTTTTCACCAAATTTCACGACACGACTTTTGTCTTTCATTGTACGTGTATTTATGAGGATGGCACCTCTTTACCCCCATTGTTCTGTGTACAGTACTCCAGACTACTGTATAATGTTAGCATATGTGTAATAACTGTGAGGTAGAGAAAGTAAATTAATGTATACTTAAGTTAGGCTAGATTAGCTTTGTGTTTTACATAACAGTATGTTGACTGACAGTAAATAGTATTTCCTTCTTTTCTCACATAACCATTTCACAATCAACATTTTTCTTTCAGATGATGCAGACACCTATGGATACAAGTCAGCTGTCGTATTCACCTGTCATGCCTACGTTGGCAACACATATGCAGCAACTCCACCTTGCGCCCAACACTGTGAGTGCACAGAATGACCAGATGAACAACTTACTGCATGTTGGTTTGACACTATTTATGGTGATATTTTTTTTAAATTATGATGCAATAACATTCTGCTTGATAGCTTAAGCTTAAATCAAAATGAGGAATAAGTTTTATGTAACTTGTGCACTGTATCTGAATTTTTAATGAAATTACAGTAGTGTTTCATGTATCAGAAGAAATGTATGATGTTATTGCTTCTTTAGCTAATTAAGATTCTTGAAATTTTAGCAATATTAGAGCAGTTCCAAAAGAAATTGTAGTTCCATCAAAATGAAATAATTTCACCCCTTCACTATAGGGATGCCACTTTAAATATTTTATTTGGCTAACATAGACAATTTTATTCAGCACAGAGAGGACCCATAAACAATGGGTTAAAGACTATGATATCAAAATCTAGATGACTAGATAATTTTCTCTTGATTCATATATAGAAAATTTCATATGTAAACTAATTATATTTTAATTTACTGTACAGTATAATAATATTGTGATTTTATTGGGTTTTAAGTTGTTTATCTAGATCATATTTAATAACAGTGTATAAATTGTTGCAGCAAGGATACTTGACAAGTGGAGGATACCCCCCCTCACCCTACACCCCAATGATGCAGCACTTGGCCATGATGGAAGATTCCACTGCGCACTCCCCAGATGAATATCAACCATACCCTACCACTCCCGGTCCAGTCCAGTGTCAGCCGCAGCCCAAGTAACACTGTAAGTATTTTCTCTTTATATACAAGTTCTTGGTGCTAAATCTAAACAACAGTAATACCAAAAAAATGTATTTTGAATAAGTTGCTAGGAAGTATATACATTCTGCTGGCTACTGCACATAGTTCATGCATTTTATATTCAACACATTTAAGTTGGTATGTGCTTGAAAATCTTCTATCTATACAGTCTCTGCATACAGTATTTTCTTACATTTTAATATGTACCAGATGGCTTATAGTGTAATGATGACCATACTCACTTCACAAGGAAGTGGTCCCAGGTTTGATTCTTGGGCAGAGTGAAATTATGGGCTTGTTTCTTTGCACCATTTGCCTCTGTCTACCCAGCAGTGACTAGGAACCTACAGTAGATGTTAATCTATTGATGGATTATATTCTGTGTTAATGGTTAGCAAATGCAATGAGGGAGTTGTTTGGTCTTGCCGGGTTATTCCTTGACACATGGTCATAGAGTTCATTGTTTGGTTTATGGTGTTGGTGACAGGTTCTACTCTTTGATCAAATTCACTCCTAGATGGCCTTAATGCCATATTTCTTCAGACAATAGGATCAACCATTATTATCAATAAGATAGCCCAGAATATTTCCTAGATACCTGTACTCGTGCATGTTTGTACAACCTCTTGTAAGTGTGAAGGGGTCCCCATTAGTCTGTACCTTAAACTCAGCTTCTCTCAGTTAAGCCATATCTAGTATAAACTTGGATTTCTCAGGGAGACACTTCCTACCAATATTTTTAGTACATCTTGTATCCCTCATAGAAGAACTTCCATCATAACTTTTCCATTAATAAAGCTTAAAAGCTACAGTACCATAGACTGGAAGAGAATCAAGAATGGAGGGACACAAAAGAAAATTATCAGTAGTGAGACTGTAAAATGCAAATTGTAATAAAAGACAAGAGGAGGTAGCAGTAAGGGTTAGGAGGTGCACTGAGAATACAGGAGTCTGGCCAGAGGAGAAGTTTTACAACACTCATCATTTAAGATGATATCCTTTGACTGACCATTTGTGATGCCAACCCTAATAATTTAATCAGTCTCATGTTTCTCTTACAATCTTGACTGGCAGGTCACTTCAGGTTTGTGTCCATGGTACTACCACCATTCTCACTTGCTAATTAATATTTCAACAGTGCAGTTCTAGTTTGTTTATGGAATCTTCTAATGTATTGAAGGCATTATTCATGTTCTCACCAAAACTTATACAGTAGAAGTCCAAAAATCCAGACTGCTTGGGGATTGGGTCGGTCCGGATTTTTGGATTTTCCGGATTCTCAGGCAGTACTTTTAAAGTTAAAATTTAAGGAGGAAAAAAGAAGAGATGAACAGGTACATTTTGATAGTTTATTCATTAGCAAATAAAGCATGCTTCATTTATCAAAACGAGCAGTTTTAAAGAAAAATAAAGTCAACACTAGACAAAAATGTAAACAAACTGTCTAATACCATGACGAGTCTTGAAATTGCTAAGCCATCCATCACTAAATGCGCACTCTGATTCAATGTTCATTTGCTCCTTGAAAGACTTTGCTTTGGCAATAAGCATCGGCCCAGAAATTGCCATACCTTCTGATCGTTTTAACAAAAACCATTCGTGCAACACTTTATCAAGATTTTCTAATTTGGGCCAATGTAAACTTTTTCTTTCAGCAATTTTAATGTAAGGCTCAGAAGAAGCTGTGAATTCTAGAATTTTATTCTTTGCCTTTTTTATATCATAAATTGTAGACTTTCCAATGTTGTATGTTTCCATTAGAACAGCATTGCTCACATTACATTCTAGTTTCTTAATTATTTCAAGTTTGTCACTCAATTTCAATGTGTTCTTCTTTCTCTTCACACAACGAAGTTTATCTACTTTAGGGGCCATTATTATGGGCTTGTACTCTGTACATGGAAAGAGTAGGACTCAAAATTACATACGTTGTCACAGTTTGATTGCTTGTTTTAAAGTGGAGATCGTGTGGTCGTTTGTTGTCGCTGTGTAGCTGTGGCATTCACTCATGCACACATACACACAAAAGATTTATAGTGCCTCAAATTTTACATTTCAGTTCAAGCTAATTACAAAACTAACAAAATTAGCTACCTATAATTTACAATTACTTTTATTATTAGAATTATGTAAATTAATTTTTTAAAGCAATTCCATTCATTCACATAACCCACAAAAGCCCGCTAAATTTAAAAAGTTTGAGTTTTCGATAAGTCCGGATTCTCGGGTGGTCCGGATTCCTGGCATCCGGATTTTTGGACTTTTACTGTATGCTAAAAAGTGTTTTGAAAAATAATTGTATTTATAGAGTTAACTATCTGTATAAGAAAACATATGCATAGCTTTTACTGTGACACAACTGTAGTCATTCATCATTGCTTGTGCTGCTGGTAACAATCCTAGAAATATTCCATATTTATTTGTTCAGTACTGTACTGTTCATGTATTTGATGTATGTTAATTTCATGTAGCATGTATTTCATAACTCAAGAGTTAGTGGTAAGACTAATTTTCTTTTCTTTTTTTTTCTTCTTCTTTTTTCAGGCCTGGAGTTAGGAATTCTTGTTTTTGACTGTATTGTCCTTCAGAAGAATGGGAGAAGCTTGAGAAAAATCACATTGTCCAAGCTCCATGGACAACACTCTCATCTTATTACTGTAGTAAAAACACACACTGCTAGTAGTTCTGAATGCCAACAGGGCAACCATGGGAGGACGTGGTTGACTATTGTGAACCTGGCAAATTGTGTGATCCGTCATTCATGGCAAATTGTGTGATCCGTCATCTATCTCTCATTCCTATGGTATTCCATAGTTGGAAAAATTGATGTGGGAATGTGGCCCAGACCCTAAAGACTCACCAAGAGAGCTACAGATGAATTCCATAATGAGTGCCGGCAATACTTGAGTCAGTGAGCCTCCAGCATTAATACTTTTGATACTGTTGCCAGGAGAGTAAAGCATCACGGCCCACGTTCCTCAAGCCGCCCCATGAACAGTGAAACATCCTCCTCGTTCAACCAATCATGAATCGGAATGTATGCATTTTCAGCACCCAATCAGGTAACCCCTCGTCGTGCCAAGGTGGCATGATTGGGAGTTTGGGCCGTGATGTAAGACCTGTGATTCAATTAGAAAGAAGTTAGAATGATTAGTATAGACAGTTATTTCATGTAAAGCAAGTGCAACTTCTCGGGATTCTTAATAAGAAATGAAATGAATTCCATGTTTTGTTACTTGATGAAACTACTTAGTGAGAACCCCAGAAATGATGAAGAAAAAAAAATTCCAATATAAGATAAATAACAAATGGTAGAAAATCCTTTGAATCTTGTGATCTACTTCTACATCACCATAATTATTAACACTCCAAATTGTTCTTCTATTCAGGAAGTGTCTAAATGTGATTATTATTATTATTATTATAATAATTATTATTTATTTATTTTTATTCATTTGTTGTCTACAAGAGTGCTCGTAGAAACGGGTTCTGCAAGTTAAAAGATGAGGACAGGCTTGTTTCTTCACTGACTAGTGGATGAAGAGGACAAGCTTTCCTAATCTGTCTATGGGATGAAAGCCGACTTTCTTCGTTGTCTTATGGGTGAAGACAGGCTTCTTCACTTTCTAGGGACTGAAGACACTTTCTTCATTGCATAGGGGATGAAGATTTTTTTCTTTGCCCAGTGGGTGAAGACAGGCTTTCTTCTTCACTGTCCAGTGGGTGAAGATAGGCTTTCTTCTCCACTGTCTAGTGGGTGAAGACAGGCTTTCTTCTTCACTGTCCATTGGATGAAGACAGGCTTTCTTCTTCACTGTCCAGTGGGTGAAGACAGGCTTTCTTCTCCACTGTCTAGTGGGTGAAGACAGGCTTTCTTCTTCACTGTCCATTGGATGAAGACAGGCTTTCTTCTTCACTGTCCAGTGGGTGAAGACAGGCTTTCTTCTTCACTGTCCAGTGGGTGAAGACAGGCTTTCTTCTTCACTGTCCAGTGGGTGAAGACAGGCTTTCTTCTTCACTGTCCAGTGGGTGAAAACAGGCTTTCTTCTGCACACTCTCATGGGTGAAGACAGGCTCTTTTCTTCATTATCTAATGGGTGAAGACAGGCTTTCTTCTGCACAGTCTAATGGGTGAAGACAGGTTCTCTTCATTGTCTAGTGGGTGAAAACAGGGTTCTTCTCATCAGTTAGTTTTCTTCACTAGTGAATGAAGACGGGCTTTTCCTTCTCCATAATGGATGAAACATAGTTTCTTCACTTTTTAGGGGATGAAAAGGGCTTTTCATTGCTATCTACTGGATGAGGACAGGTTGCTTCACTGTCTAGTAGATGAAGACAGGCTTTTTCTTCACTGTAGTGAATGAAGACAGGCTTTTTTCCTTCACTGTCTAGGGGATGAAGACAGGCTTTCTTCATTTGTTAAATTTCAACCCTCCTGTTGTAGGTATTGTGTTAAAGTCTTCTCCAGAGTTCATCTACATCTCCCTCTTGATTTAACTTAACGTATAAGTCTTTTATTACTCCCCCCTCCCCCCTAAAAAAAACCTATTTTCACACAATTGACTAAGTGTGGCCGCGCATCTCGCAGTTTCTGGCTGTGTTCGACGTTACTAAACTGTTAGATGTGGGATTTAATAAAAGTTTTGCACACCGGGAAATTGGGGGGAGCTCTCTTAAGGAGCCCAACCTCACGTTTAGGACAGAGAACAGTAACAGGCAACAGACAGGGAGTTAGTCATCGAACGCAGCCCTTCTGCTCTTTGTGCGTGGCTACTGTCAACCACAAGTTCACCCAGTATAGTTAAATAGACTGGAAAGTTGACTTCCATACACTCATATTCATTACAAGTATTTTGCCAAGTATACATAAGATATATAAATTATTACTGCAATTAGTAAATGACGAAGAATAAATCCCTCGTTCCACAATTTTTTACACTTAAAGCACATGTAAATATAATTTCCCAATACATATGTGAGAAACAAATAACTTATTTTCTGATATATTACTAAAATAGATGAAAGCATTATACCCTAACACTGTGTAGTGATGTTTTCTTCAACTTGCCAACTGAAAAAGGCTTAAAGAGCTTTAGAAAAAAATCAGGCTCCTTGCTAGTTATGCTTTAACAAGATTGGCTACTTGACACCTTAAATTCCACTGTGCTGAAGTTTCTCTTTTTCTGTGAAAGGAGTAAGAGGAATGTTGGTAATGTGGCATTTAATGTCAGTTAGCTTTATTGAGTCAAATTTTATTCTTTTAGCCCAAGAGTCATAATCACAAGTTGTACTCAGCTTACCAAAACATCAACAGCAGCAACATATGCAGTGTGTGTGTGGGTGTGTGTGTGTGTGCATGTACATTTATGTATACCAGATATATATATACACACACACACACACACACACACACATACACACACACATACACACAGACTGTTTATGTTTGTTTAGAATTGCATCTTCATACTGGTAGCAGTCAATGAAGTTTGATATCTGAGAGCATGTAGAGTTATGAGGGAATGTGTTGAAAACGTTCATTTTCCCGTGTTTCCACTTATCTATGAAACTCTAATGTGACCCAGACCAGACAAGTAAACGTTTGTCAAATACATTGTGAGTAAAGCTGAAGTGGCACGGCTCGTGAGTATGGTTCTTGAGCAGGTCTGTTGATGCAGTCACAGTGCTGTTCCTCGTGTTACTTACATTCCACTGCATATTTCCTACTTTGATTAATCCACTTTACAGTTTATTTATAACTTTCCTCAACTGTCATTTAGTGCAGAATCTTGCAAATATAGTTTTGGTTCCCAGTATCCAAAGGAAATATTCAATAGAATGCAATGAGAGTTTATTTTTAAAGTGTTTTGAAAGAAAAACATATTCCCATTTTTAGATATGTGCCTTTCTTCAGAGACATAAATTCATACAGGGACTCCAGTAGTTGAAATCCATGCCAAAATCTTCTAGTGGATTCCAAAGGAATTTCATTATGGGTAAGACAGATTATGGGTGGGTTTCCCGTGTCCAGTGGATTGGTGTGAAGTGTTTAACATCGGCTTGCCCTGCCCCCATTGATGGTGTTGGGTGGCACACTGCCTCTACCAAAGATGGAGTAGGTCGGTACGATGATGCGTCACCCCTCTGGCCGGCAGCCCCGTGGTTTTATTGTGTGGAAGTAGATGTCAAGCTGAGAAACCCCTATTGATTTGAATTTGAGCGGAAGAATGTTGTTGAGTGCCTGTTAAACTGATTTATTTTAAGTTAGGAAAGATATGTATGGATAGAGATTTATTTTTATTTTAAGTAGGGAGAAGATGAATATCAAACAAAATGCAATTGTGATACTTATAGAACATTTGACTGTAAATAGTAAACTAACCCATCCAGGGCCTAGGCACAGCTTCCCAGGTGTATCTTGCAGTAGGTACGGGACATCAGAGGATAATGGTGAATGGCCAATTGGTGCACATTGAAGCTGTTCATTTATCAAGTACATCTCTGGACATCCAGAGAAGCTAGTGGTTCAAGGTGGATGTTGTTAATGATAAATTTGCCAGATGAATTTATATCTGATTATAATTATTGGAAATTTGCACCATAAAGATATTGATGTTGAAATCAGTTTTCAAATAAATAATTTTTTGATACAATCAAAGGCCTTAATCTGTGATGGGTTCACGGAATGATTTTTTCTTCAGTTTTACTGACCTGTATTTCTTATAGTGTAAACTGCATAATGATAATAAGTTGAGAATGTTTTAGTTGCATAATGATACTTTGTGCAGCAATTGTATTGATAAACAGTAGAAACGATAATTATTTACGGTGCACCTGTACAGTCAGCAATTTTATCCATGAGTTAGATTGAAATTATTTTTACTGAATCTACCAAATGTACAGACAACTGTTAACTTGTTAGGGGTGTTGTAGTACTCAGTGAGAGTAGGTAATATAGCTGAATATTGACATCATTATTTTTTTTAATAAGAAAAATAAAGATTTTTTGTCCTTTTACATGAAAGGAATCAATATAATATGGTCTTCAACTTATTAGTTGAGATGCCATATCATATGCTTTCATAAGAAAAAATGAAAAATTAGAACCAGTGTATGGTTGTTCACTGCATCTCTGATGAAATTAAAAATGTATTTGATATACAAAAAAAAAAAAAAAAATTTAAATCACATCTAAAATTTGTGAAAATTTTCCTTAAGATGATGCAGTGGAAATGTTTACTTGAAACACTTGCTTGTTTGTGATGTTGAGTAAATTATGGATTAAGATACTGACACTGAAAATTGAGAATTGTAATTGTTGCAATTTTAAATCCAGAATTGAGGGCTTTATATCAAAGTACACGTGACAAAAACCTTGTTATTTTAATCAGAATAATCCTGGTTTTCTTTGTAGTAAATTGTATCATGAAGACTGCCAAAACCACTCCTGGTCTTAATTTATAGTAAATAATAAATGTTACAGTAATGAAGACAAATTGGATGAAGGAATTTATGAGTAAAAGATTTAAGGTGTAGAAAATTTGAGGATGAAGCAGTCACATAGATACTCCATTAAAGGTGTGATCAACACACTGATGGCTGTGCCTGGCAGCTGGGATGGTGGAGTGTTGAGATGTTCCTAATGTCTGTGCTTACACCGCAGCCGCGCTCACAGCGGGCAGTGTCGGCAACCCATGCAGCCGACACGCGTGCCTACTGGCTGCTTAGTTCTTTTTCTGGGAGAAGGCGACAGTGACGAGAAAGAAGTGAGTTCTGTGGAAGCTTTAAGTGGTGGGAAAAGAGGGACATTGGAAGGATCTATTCTAATGATTAGTGTTTAGTCTGATGAGTTTCATGAGGATTCTTGCTAGTGTTATAAAGTAATGGGGTGAGTGAATAGTGTACTGTACAGCTAGATGATGTTATTAATAACCTATTGAGACTGTTGAAAAAATATAGGTTTATTTTGATAACAAGGCTTATTTTAATAAGGACTACATATACCTGACACAACAGTGTGTACATAAACAATGTGTAGTGAAACAAATATGTACATTTAAAATGACTACTAGATTTTTTTGTGTCACTCAGTAATGCAAATAGAAGGGCACAGTTGTAAAGAGCAACATAGTGCCCATGTGAGTTGAGAATAGAAGTCAACATGCATCAGGACTCTTGAAGTGAAGTGTGTTAAGGCAAGGAGACAAGAGGCCAGGCCTGGAAGCTTAGCCCTGGCCGGCCGCTCCCACGTGTGTTGTGGTCGCCGGCATGGCAGCACTGCTGAAGGCAGATGGTGAATGGTGTGGATGCAGTATCTTGGTGGCTGTGCCAGCAGCACCACCCCAAGGCCAGTTTGTGGTGCAGTGGCAGAGCTCACGTTACTACCACATCCACCTGAGTCTCAAAACGTGAGGGAGTTGACTCACTTGCTTAGTTTAGGCCCTGAAGTTGGTGTAGCAGCCACAGGAGTACCAGCAGTAACCACCATTGTCGTTGTCTTCTGTGACTGCTGTGGCCGCAACACTTCATCTAGAGTTAAGGAACTTCCAAAGTTAAGAAAATACAAAAAGATGTGTTATTCAAATCTGTGGCGTTGTGTTTTGTGAAAGTTTCTCTTCCTTTCTTTTCTTTCAGTACACTTTCTTCACTGTGAATTTGTGCAAACGAATCTAGATTTAAGAAACTGTAGGGAAAAGATGTAGTTATAAGGCAAGCCTTAGTTGTAAGTGTAAACAATAGACCTATTACTGAGCAGCTGTGTCAAGTGGAGGTTCATCGAGCAGTATGTTGAGGCCCTCTCCCCTTTCGTACCCCACACTACGTGAAGGTGATGACAACACTCGCTACCAGGAGGTGGTCTTGTGCTGGTGGTGATGGAGTAGAAGTCATGGTGGAGTTGGTGGTAGTGACTAACTCAGCTTCTGTCTGGTGACCTTACAAACTTGAGATAGCTGCTCAGGTTCATCTCCCAGGGCTATTGAATAAGGTTAATCTTTCGAAATGTGATTTTTTGCAAATTATGTAAGAGATGAAAACAGTTGTAGCAATGAATGTGCCCATTCCAAACGTCTTCCCTGTGCTCCGGAGGGGACGAGTAGGGAGACTTCAGCAAACATGCGTCCCTGTTGTGGTGTAGCATCCTGGAGTCCCCCATGCCTCCCTTGATGCCCCTGCAGCCTTCCCCCTCCCCCCGTCCTCCTGCACCACACCCGCCACCGCGTCACCCAGGCTCTAGAACAACATCCTCTTAATGGTTCAAAACTCAGACATAACACCAAGTTTTATTTTGTTATTGTGGCTCAAGTTCATCAAGCGACAGAACAAGTATGTGATATAAATGTAACCATATTGGATATTTAAGTAGTCTAGTTGTTACGATTGGCTCTTGATATGTAACCAAATCAGGGTCAAGGTGGCGGTTTAGGATTTTGAATGGGTGCATGCATGTATGTGTGTGTGCGCGCGTGCATGCAAGTGTGGGGAAGGGGAGTGATGATGTGGGGGTTTGATGGGTAGATATCTTATTTCTATTAATCTGACTTGCTTTTAACCAAAGTGTTGTTGATATCACCAAAGTCATATTTTATTGCAGTTTTAAAGTTGATATAAATACAAGAGAGCTGATACGTGATTACTTGCTATAAATCAGGTTAATCGGGTAGAGCGGCCCACAGGTGAACCTTCCATGCCCACGTCTACAGCCAGCGCCAAACACCATCAGTACAAACCCTCCACTGGGTCAGTAGAATGCTCATTCACAAGCATTACATGGTGAATATTTATTTTATCAAGTTTAATCCATAGGCCAATTTCCTCTCTTCTATTGAACTTAGTGTGACTGTCCACAAGGTCCATCAGAGTACCACTCATGCTCGAGTCTTGGTGACGTATGGTAGTGCAAACAGGGAATGTCGGCAGCTGGTTTTATTCTTGTTTTTTAGGTTTCTAAGATCATTAAGTACTAGCGTGGAGTTTTGGATATGACCATATAGTAGATTTTAGAAAATATTGGGATATCAGACATGTACAGATCATGTGAAGGCTGGTGACAATGGTTTGGTAATTTGATACTGTCCAGATGTGACTGTGTGTGTGATGCTGCACCTGAATGCATTGGCTGTTACTAAAAGTTCCATAGCAGATAATTCATCCATTCCTAATCACTTGATCATCAAGTGATTGACATTACTTTATTATAGATATTGGAATGACTATGTAACAGAATATGCAGGATTGAGCCTGGGAAAGAAGTCAAACCAAGAGCTATTTTTGTATCCATAACCCCCCCACCCCCAGAGAAGGTTTTCTCAAGCAATATTTGCCAAGTGAAAATTTCTCTATATGTGAGTCAAGGGAAGAAAGGTTTGAATGTGAGGATCAGTGGCCAGGAAATGTTATATACATGTATCAAGGTAATGGATGGAACAGCAGGTCTTGAGGTGCTCTAGCAATGGAGTCGTTTACTCGTCGTAGATAGTACGGATCTCTCTACCCCAGGCTAGTCCTCCTTCCTTGTGAGTGGAAGATAGTCGTCTGCATGATTAAAGCATAGGATGGGTGGAAGGCTGAGCTAAGACGGTGGGCCAAGGGTGGCAAGTGGTGGCAGGGGGCGACGGGCGGGTGTGCACGGCGCTACCACCGTTCAGGGCCCCGTAGATAATAGACGGGCAGGGGACAAGTTAATACACAGCATGACATTGCTGCACTACTGAGTGGGACTCGTAGGATCCAATATGTCTCACACCGGGACACACATGTCTAACTCAGGTGACTAGTGTAAGATTCATCGCCTTATGCCCGGCTGTGTGGTGGCGCTCTACCTGCACCCCCCTGCCCCCCACTCGACTGTATCCCCTCCCTGACCATTACCCTTCCTGACTGTACCTTCTCACTCACTCAGCTCTGGCCATGACTTTCCCCTATACTTGCGTCAAACAAAATGTTCTTCCTTTTATCATTTGATCACTTAACTCTATCTTGCTTATTAACTTGACTCACTCATATTTTAACATAACTTAACAACTAATTGCATTACCGCTTACATTGAACTCATGTTTCACAGTGATTTTTTCTATTATCACTTCACATACTTACTGTACTACTTCTATTTTGTGCCGACTATTCTACACTGACTAAAATCGATTTTGTTCTCAATTAATTTTTCACTCCTTACTTAACTGTTTCCCACACTTTAATATGTGTACCCTTTCCTTTCTTCAGTTGCTGACTTAGTGCACACGAGAATGACTTTCTATCCTGAGGAATGATTGTCTCACAGCTGTAAGCCCTCCATAATTTTATCCATTTTAATTAACCCACCTAACTTGCTAATGCATCTCCTTTCACACCTTAGTGTTTGCTTCATCATCATTTGTATTGCCAGCAGTAACTTCTTGATGATGTTAACATGATCCTGACTGGCTGCAGCCACATCATAAACAAGTTCTGCACTGCACTGCACTGCACTCCACTCTCAACACAACTGAAAACTACTCGTACGTTGACCTATCAGCTGTAGATGGTACTGACTCCATTCCTGCCTTTATGACTAATGGTGCTTATACAACCTTAAACATTACTGTATATTCACATATAAATGCAAACATCTTGTCAATTTGATACACTTGTTACCTTCAGCATGTAATATAATAGTTTTCCATCATATGAAAGTGTACTGTATATTAATTACAGAGAAATACTGGCCAAACTCCCTAATAAACAGTACTTTTTAGCATTCCACCTATCACATGGGTCTTGGCTGAGACATTTTGATGTACAGCTGAATGGCTTGCTATTTTCTTACTGCCAGTAAGTTTTCAAAAATAATATTTACCTTTACCATCAAGTGAACGACAGTAAAGACATGCATCACACACATTCATAGTACTTGATATTTACTTGTCTCTTTCCTTCCGTTACAAGTAAAATGAAAAAGCTTCCCTCTTTACCCAAGATATACTTGAAACTCCTTACACCCTTTTATGTAATTCTTCCTCACTCTTACATCATCTGCCAGAGAAGAACAGTCTTCCTTTCCTCATACCACTACCTCTTATGTTTCCCATCACTTGTCATACCAGCCCCCTCTTTCTCTCACAATTCATTTCTCATGATTTCTGTCTCACCATTTTTCTCAGCTTACACAGATCTCATATCCCCCTGTGTCACCCTGCCCCCCACACAGACCCCCAGACTTGCCGGCCAGATGTCATAGTCGCCCTTGGGTACCTGTTGGCTAGGCCTCCCCGCCAGCCCGGCAGCAAGTGAATAGATGCCACTTGTAATGATCCCAGCCAGCAACAATGTGCTCACCAGTCAGGGGTTAGCAAATTTATGTCTAATTTACATGTAATGTTCAAAGTGATGCCAACTTTTGAGCTTTAAAACTATCAGTGGCTTAATAGTGTATGACCCCTGTTATTATTTTTTAATAGCATTATGGGCATGGATGACCATATGATGAATGTTGTTAGTCATAATGTCTAGAAAACTGTTTGGCAAAATCCATGAATTTTAATATGGTTTATATTGCTCAAAAGTGAAACATTTTGACAGTTATCCTTAACAGACATGATCTTTCATAAGGATAGGAAGTGTCTTCATTTTCTTGCAATGTAAGCAACAAAATACCAATGACATTATGAAAGCATAACATCTTCAAAGTGCATTCCTTGTGTAGGTGCATCAACTCAGTCCTTTAGTCTGCACTTTTTTGTTGAGTGAATTACAGGAAAATTTTCTCAGGACTTAATGTTGGGAGTTAGAATATCAGTTAAGTATTATATGTCTTGATTGGATACCTTGTACTTGTCTTTCTGATGGTATTTCAACTGTAGGAGGTCGTAAGAGATTCATACATTCAGAGGTTTTTATTGTTTAAGGTAAACATATAGAACTTTATTCTAATGTTCCCTTCTTGTTTGGGAAACATTAGGTGTACAAGCCTGTAATTCACCTGTGAGAAAGTGCAGCCATGCCCCATGTACCAGTATACATAGTGCCCAGTGTACCAGTATACACAGTCTCATCTGTTCACTTGGCTGCCTGCACAACACCAAAGCCTCATCAGAGAATAGAAAAGTATTTATCAACCCATGCTGACCCTGTACATAGGATTGACATGACCCTTTTATTTTCTGTCCTTTAATTTATATACAATTTAATTTTCCCGACTAATGAATGACTGGAGTAGTCGTTAAGGGGCGAAGTTTGTGAATGGCTAATGAAATCGCCGGTCACTTATGCAAGAACATGTGAAACAGGACACACTTCTTATATTCTGTCACGGATGAGTGGAATGGCATGGAATATTATAAATAGTGATTCTTCTATGTGAAGTTAATATTGTTGACAGATGAAAGGACTAAATAAAGATTTTATGTTTGTAGATGTTATACTTAACCTGACATTGTTGAAAGAAAATCATAATATTTTTTACAAGAATTTAGAATCGAGAAAAGGATCTGTTAAGGCATCAAGATTTTAATTCTAGTACAGTATATAAAAATAAGCGACAAGAAATATATGCTGGGTACATACAGTATACTGTATGTCAGGTTTGACATAACGAACTATGAAAGTAAGTTGGTCAGTATGACTAACATCCGGTGTGGAATCTACACTAACTGAATAATATTTGGCTTGTTTCACTTCCTTTATGATAATTGAGTGAATTTCTTTAGCCATCAGATTGACCATTTCCTCACAAATCGTTTTTAAGAGATATGAAGTTTTTCCACTGCCTACAGCACCATACTTCTCCAAATGCTGTGCAAGAAAAGGATAAAATTTTGCTAGGAGTTCCAGTACTCCAAGGTAATTCCCATTGTTGCTAGAGCCTATTCTTTCATCACTACCTCTAAGAGGAAGACCTCTTGATGTTAAAAATTTTAGTGTTTCAACTATGCGCAATAGAACTTCTTTCCAGTATTTTTTCTCCAATTTTACTTGCAACGCCAAAGTGGAATCAATTCGCCTTGCTGTAATTGCCCTCACACCCCAAGTAGTAACTGAGATTTTATGTTCTTTGCTACTTTCATGTTCAGCAACTGTACGCTGGCAGTTTTTCCAGTCGCTAAACCCACTAGTAAACAATGAGACTTGCATGCTGAATAGCTTGCACAATATAAAACATTACTGAGCTGAGGCTGAGAAGATACTGACTGGCTGAGCGAGCTTCTTTTTTTTTTTTTTTTTTTTCCCCTACATCATTGTGTAAGGTGAAGCGCAGAAGCGTTTACAGCACCCAACAGGGAAGCATGCTAAGTTCATGCTTGCCTTTATGTCTCATGAGTTAAGGGCATAGAAGCCTGAAGAGTCAGTGGTTTATGTCCTCAAGTTATTGGAAGCTCCAACAACTTGTCCCTGAATACGAATTCGCAACTTTCGACTTACACCAGGTACCTACTTTACTGCTAGGTGAACAGGGACTAATGGGGGCTAGGAAGTAAGTCCAAACAACTTCCACCGGCCCGGGAATTGAACCCGGGACATCTCGCTTGCGAGGCAAGAACGGTACTGCTTCTACCACCGATCCCCCGTGAGTTGCCGGCAAACCAACGGTAACCCTGACATACTGAACGTGAAACGATCCTGTCCTTCGCACGTCAAGGCGCTGAAGGTTTCTTGAACTTCTCTCTCTCTCTCGTATATGAGTGGTCAGTAGACTGGCAAATGAATTTTAATACTGATAAATGCAAGGAACTACAGATAGGGAAGACGAATACAAACGTTAAGTATAAACTAGGTAACACGGAAATAGAAAACTCAGTTTGTGAAAAAGATCTAGGTGGTGTATTTTGTTAGCAACGACTTGAAACCCAGAAAACACGTATTAGCTGTCAAGAACAAGGCAAACAGGATTCTTGTTCATCTAGTTCAGAGTAACAGAACTGTTGATTTTATCTTGAAACTTACTCTAGCATTAGTGAGGCCACACATGGATTATGCGGTTCAGTTCTGTGTCCTTATTAGAATGGAGAGATTCTTTGGAGAGAGTACAAAGAAGAATGACAAAAATGATCCATAATATTAGAAACCTTCCATATGAAGAAAGACTGAAAAGCTTAGGGCCATTCATTAGAGAGGCGAGAGTTAGGAGATATGATAGAGGTGTACAAGTGGGTGTGGAATAATAAGGGTAAATGAAGATGTTCTGAAGCTCAGCACAACGAAATAATCCAGAAATCAAATGGCTTTAAATTAGAATTCGATCTGTAAAGGATAGGCAAGCACTGGTTTGGTAATAGAGTTGTGGATATGTGGGAATAGGCTACCGAAAGGCTATAGTAGGATCGGGGACGCTAGGGAGCTTCAAGACGAAGTTGGATAGGCACATGGAAGTGCTGGGATGGGTGTGAAAGGGATCTGCCCTGTATGGGCCAGTCGGCCTCCTGCAGTATTATACTGCCAGATCGGGGGTCACTAAATCTAAGGGGATAACTTAACTCTAATCTTAATTTCTAAGGGTCGCTGCCACCAGACCCCCTCTGGACAGCATGTAGCTCGTTAGGTAGCGGGCAGAGTGAACTAGGCATTGGGTTAGGTTTTCCATTGATCAGATCGATAAGGGTCAAGAAGGGTGAAACCATAACATGTCTTCATTGATTTATTTCTTATAAAACACACTGGTAAAAAAAACATACATGAACTGGCCTTCCTCTGAAGAACAACGGAATTTTGGTTACCCAACTGGGCCCCAGACTCCTACATTACTGGCGGGTCATCCACCCACTTATTGCACAACAATCGGTGAACGCCGTATCTCGGTCGTTCCTTCTTACAATATCCCTTAACACATCAGACTGTTCCACTGGTGTGGCTTGTAGCACCGTCGGTTATCATACATAGTAGCACCATCGCAACACACCTGTTACACTCCATACCTGCAAGTATGTGACTCCTTGTGACTTTTAGGTCTACACCACGGGCCCCTCGTTCGCACACCGCCCTCGGTGGGTAAGGACGAGGGCTTCACCTAGAGACATACCAGCACTATTTCTACGCCTGGTATTATAGGTCGCTCCAAGTGACGACCGCAGTTTCTCACGGTCTCCTTAGTTGTGACTATTCATTTGGAGTGGTGCGCTGGAAATCCACAGGTTCACAGTGGACTGGCATAGCGGGGAGTCGTCCCCACCTGTTGTGACGCTCAAAGGGACAATGGCGGCCGGGCGGCAAGGTACTCCGACCACATGGCACCTGAGGTGACGGTAGAACGAGGAAGACTGAGAAATAATGCCTGACGGGCGGTTATCCCACCCCTTAACACATTCCTATCACACTTATATATCCGGCAAAGCTTTAAACTGTAGTAACTTCTATTTATCAACATTAATTATAGGGCGGGATATAGCCCGCTAGGACACTGACCTGAGGTGACGGTAGAACGGGAAGACTGAGAAATAATGCCTGACGGGCGGTTATCCCACCCCTTAACACATCCCTATCACACTTATATATCCGGCAAAGCTTTAAACTGTAGTAACTTCTATTTATCAACCTTAATTGTAGGGCGGGATATAGCCCGCTAGGACACTGACCTGAGGTGACGGCAGAACGGGAAGACTGAGGCCGTGCCCCGCCGCTCTCGTCACATAGGCCTACAGTTTCCAATCCTCAATTTACATTTTTGTTTCTTATGGTTCTCACCTGAACACTTTTCGGTATATTGTCACTCATGCCTTATAAACACATATTTTAATCCTAAATTACACACTAAGGTAAGGTCTTGGTTTGCTAGTGCTTGGTTAAATGCCTGGGATTTTAATATCAACGTGGCATCTGAGGCGGGTACATGACGCGCCTTGAAACAAAGGCCGAATGATCATGGCGGGGGTGTATCAACTTCACTTAAAACTGTAATGAGGGATCCTCCTCTCACACATTGCACTATTTGAACACAGACATAAGATTCTCTGATCACTGTACCTGTCGTGGGTATATGTCACGTGAGGCTACGAGGTGTATTAAATTCATACCGACGCATACACGATATTTCCTTTCCAGTATAGTTTCTAGATCACTGTCAACACCTCACATAGTTCTGATACATTTATCCCTTTTTCCCGATCATTGTTCTCATGTATTTTCATATGATATCTGTTGGAGTTAGGTTCGCTACACGCTCACAGACGTAAATAGTAGGACCTTCAAACCCTGCTCCACACTTAGTCTTACAGTACCCTAGTCCGGCTCAACTGGACTTAACATTCATCTTATGCCTACCCTGAGTGATCCTTAATGCTATGAATACATACACTTGATATGATATAACTATACCTGGGTACAATACCACACATGGTCTAGGAACCTTGAGTAGGTGAGTTGTCCTTTCTCAATGTTTCCCGTTTTCTGGGGTTCTACAAGCGCTGTGCATTTGAATGTTATGTAGCGTAATATGAATTAGATGGGATTTTTAGGGATGACAATGATGTGCGCAGTACAGTATCCCACTTTCTTATGTTCTTATGTTCTTATAGATAAATAGATAGATAGATCGATGGTGGGACACGGACATTTAAAAAATGTATGTATGTATATATATATATATATATATATATATATATATATATATATATATATATATATATATATATATATATATATATATATATATATATATATATATATATATATATATATATATATACAGTGGGGTATGCTATAACGAATCTAATTGGTTCTAGAACCTTGTTCGTTATAGCATTCGTTTGTTATAGGATTAATCCGTTCCAGGCCCCCAAATACAACCACTTAACACTGAAAAATATAATATAAAATTGTAAAAATTGTAAAAAGTGCATAAATATGCATCTAAACCCCTGAAATAAAGAATATCATTAATACTTGTAATAAAAAAACAATAAATTAGTAAAAAAAAAAAAATTTTTTTTTAAATAATGTTCGTTGTAGGAGTTTCGTTCGTTATAGCATTCTCAATTTTATAGGTAAAACCGTTCGTTATAGGAATATTCGTAGTAGGATCCGTTCGTTATAGCATACCCCACTGTATATATATATATATATATATATATATATATATATATATATATATATATATATATATATATATATAATTTTTTTTTCTTTTTTCTTTTCTTTTATTATCACCCATGGCCCACCAGTTGAAGACCACTGCAGGCCTATACTTGTCAGGCCCCATACCCGGGGCCCTATACTTCTATTGTACAAGTTTATACTCGGGCCCTATACTTATTGTAAAGGGGCCCTATACTCGGGCCCTATACTTATTGTACAGGTTCTATATTCCTGGGCCCTATACTTATTGTACAGGCCCTTATGGTTGTGAATATATTATATAATGAAATACTGGTGTACACTTAAAACAAGGTTATACGCTGGCACGCTGAGCGACAAATTAGT